TCTGGTGTGGTTGACAGTGTCATGTGGGGTGTGAAAGTGTAATACCGCCGAATTTTGATTGAGTCTGTGTTTCCTTTACACTAATACCTTTGAGAAAGACAACATTTCATCTTTTTTGCACCACCAGTTAAGAAGTAGGGTAGACTAAGTTCTGTAGCCTTAGTTGGTAACCAGGCTAGACGGACAATTAAAAATAGTGGAAAAGGTGACAAAACCAATCCATGACCTTTCGAAACACAATAATAAAGCTCAATTTTCAGATATTGACAAAAGAAGACGTGAAGAGCCATGATCGCCTACACTCTGAAGGTACATGGCGATGTTTAAAAATAATTTTTGTCCTGTTTGTATCAGTACATAATGTTCATTTCTAATTTGAAAAGTACAATTCTCTTTTGTTATCTCAACTTCCAGATGACTTGTGCCGTCCTGACTTTCGAATAATTTCGAAATCTGAAACTCCAAAGAAGGCATACAATTAACAAAAAGGAAAGTGTACTCACCCAAAATTGTTCGGATACTGGGACCTTTTTACATATTTGTTGTTAAAACAACTTTGCGACCAGTTCATTCACCGTCCCTCCTCGGGTGTAGTCCACGAGAAGAAGAAAGTTCTTTCTTCAAATATTTATTTTTGAGTATTTTTTTAATATTGCATAAAAATATGGCACATGATCAAAAAATGATGATTTGGGATTACTCTAACATTGTCTTTAATTTTAAGCTGATCAAATTCAACGAGTCACACGTTCTTCAGTTTTCTTTTCACCACAACATCGACAGAACAATTCTTTGAAGAAATAAAAAAATGAAACGCTACTTTTCTATAAAAAAACTAATTAGTCCCATTTTACACTTTCGTATTTTTATGTAGAGGGAAGCGATGAAAGTAGTTTATTATATTACAATAAATATTATATTACAATTAAAATTATATTACAATTAAAATTTTCCCTCCAATAATTACATGTGAAGGATTATATTATTTAAAAAAAAACTACTAGGTGACCCTCCTCACCCCTGAAAAATATTTGGCAAAAAAAAAAAAATGCTACTAGGTGACCCCCCCCCAACACTAAAAAATGTAACAAAGCGAATAATAAAGTACACTCCGATGTAGTGTACTAGTTAGCAAGTTTGTTTCGCTAGAACAATTACGACTGAGTAGTGAGTTAGATCCTCACTGGGTGCTCCACACATTCAGCCTTGTGTCCCATATAAACTAGGCTTAGAAAATTCCTTGTGGGTACCACGACGTGGTGTAATGGTTAGCAAGCTTGTTTCGTCAGAACATATTACGACTGAGTAGTGAGTTCGATTCTCACTGGGTGTCCCGTACCTTCGGCCTTGTGCCACATCCCAGCTACGCTTAGAATACCGCCATAGTGAATAGTAAGTTAAAACGGTTGGAAAAAAAAATGGCGGCAAAAGTTCTTCATTAATATATCCACTTGACTAGTCCATTTTAAAATCGTCAGGTAGACGAAGTACCTAGGTAGTTCCAAGTTTTGCTTATTGGGAGAGGAATTCTCAGTAAAGAAACTTACATCGTGTTGAAATCAGCACCACCTCAACTTAGCCACCTGGTCGACAGATTGATATATATTACTTCTTTCATCTTCATCAGTTATGTAGACACCATCAAAGAGGTGCGTATATGGGGGCGGAGAGGGGGCTAATGTCTACCCCTCTCTTTCCAAATATGCTCTACCCTACCAGAGTTTTCTATCCCCCCCTTTAGCTTTCAGTTTTCTTATGTTCGAGTCTGATGACGCCAGAGGTTCTACTATATATATATATATATATATATATATATATATATTACGTATGGCTAGAGTAAAATATTTCTTTTTATAAATACGATGTTGTGTTGAAAAGATTAATAAAGAACGTCTGGTTTGGTGTATGTGACCGGCGAAATTAAAGATAGGACAATGATTTGTGGCACATCGACAAAAATATGGCCATGTGACATATTTTTGCGTCATGTTAGCTTAAAATTTACCAAAAAATAAATATTTGGAAAAAGGGAGCTGAAGATATGATCGAAACGATAACAAATAATATATAAAAAAGAGGTTTACCCTGTCCGAACAAAGTTGGATACATATTAATGATTCCTCTCACTGCGTGCTCCATACTTTCGGCCTTGTGCCACATCTAAGAAACGCTTAGAAAATCACCAGAATAATTCTTCTTCGAATTCCAGCGGATTTCACTTAACGCGCAAATACCCTTGTGAAAGGTATGACTCCATTTCTACGCCGCCACTATGGGTTGAATAGCAGGACAGACTGAATCCTATTGCCTTGGTTGGCTACCAGTCTATCGCAGAAAGAAACGGCACCCTAGTGCGAGAAAATTGATTGATTAGTCAGTCATGAATCGAAAGAAACATGATTGTCCAAGCGTTTATCCCATATCGCACTTAACTGACTGGCTAAAAGATATAAATAAAATGTACTTGATTGGGGTAATAATTTTTTTGATGTCAGTTTTTATTATTTCCCGAAATAGTAAAATATATTAGGATGAATCATAAATAATTTCCGTTTTTTAGCAACTTTATTCTTCAAAAAAATAATGTCTAATTCCATTTTATTCAATTCTATATACACCATTTTTTGCAATGACTTGTTGTCGCTTATTCGGCAACTCTTCGATATCTATTGAATAAAATCCAACAGGGTTTGATATAAACAAGATTTCGACGAATTTTTGAATCTGGTTTTTATTAGAGAAAGTTTTCTTCACCAGAACGTTTTGCAAATTATTACTACCGATACTCAAACATAATTTAACATCTATCTATCTATCTATCTATCTATCTATCTATCTATCTATCTATCTATCTATCAAAAAAAAAAAAGACGATGAAAAAGTCCGCAGTCAATTGTTGAGACCTCCTGGCGAGTGGACTGAAAGTTTACAAAAAGTTCGTCTACGAAACACTGGAGTCGATGTGCTGAACCTTGGCATTAATCACCAAAGTGACAAATTTTATTTGTATGTTTGTTATCCAACGCAAACATAATATATAAAAAATTAAAAAGTGAACATTGAAGTCAACACTTAGAGACGACAAGCTGTTTCATGCTAGGCGCCTCTGAGTGTTGACTTCAATGTTCACTTTTTATATTTATGTTTATATATATATATATATATATATATATATATATATATATATATATATATTCTGTTTATACGTTATTTTTATAGATATAATTTATTTAAATATATTCTCTTTTCCAATTAAACAGTCTTAATTAATTTACCGGCCTGAATATCCATTGCATCGAATTATAACTTCATTTGTTTTCATTTACCAGGATATATATATATATATATATATATATGTGTGTGTGTGTGTATAGATGTGTGCATATATATATATATATATATATATATATATATATAGAGAGAGAGAAAGAGTGAAATACCGCTGATATCACAGAGCGACCGAGAGAGAGAAATAAGGAGAGATAAATGGATAGAAGGTAATTTGAGAGAGAGCGAGGAAAAAAAGGGAGCGAAACAGATAGATAAATAGACAGAGAGAGAGAGAGAGAGAGAGAGAGAGAGGGGAAGAAGAGATTGAAAAAATAAAAGGTGAATAAGAGCCAATTTGCGAGAGACAGAGACAGACAGAGAAAGAGAGAGAGAGAGAGAGACAAAGAAAGAGAATTAACGAATGGTGAAAACCTGCTAAAATGAAAGAAAGAATGTGGAAGATAGGGGGTAAGGGAAGGGTGAAATAGCCCTGTTGAGAAGGGGAGAGAGAACAAGAACAGGGAAAAGAGATAGAGAGAGATAGATAGATTGGTAGATGGGAATAGGCTAAGGTAGATAAATAGAATGAGATAGATAGATAGATAGATAGATAGATAGATAGAATGAGAGACATAGATAGAAAAATAGAATGGGAGACATAGATAGGTAGATAAATAGAATGAGAGACATAGATAGGTAGATAGATAGATAGATAGATAGATAGATAGATAGATAGATAGATAGATAGATAGATAGAACGAGAGACATAGATAGATAGATAGATAGATAGATAGATAGATAGATAGATAGATAGAACGAGAGACATAGATAGATAGATAGATGAATAGAGAGATAGATAGATAGATAGATAGATAAATAGATGAGAGATAGAATGAATGAGATAGATAGATAGATAGATAGGTAGATAGATAGATAGAATGAGATAGATAGATAGATAGATAAATAGATAGATAAATAGAATGGGAGACATAGATAGGTAGATAAATAGAATGAGAGACATAGATAGATAGATAGATAGATAGATAGATAGATAGATAGATAGAACGAGAGACATAGATAGATAGATAGATAGAACGAGAGACATAGATAGATAGATAGATAGATAGATAGATAGATAAATAGAATGAGAGACATAGAATGAGAGACATAGATAGATAGAGAGATAGATAGGTAGATAGATAGATAGAATGAGAGACATAGATAGATAGATAAATAGATAGATAGAATGAGAGACATAGATAGTTAGATAGATAGGTGTTAAATTATGCTTGTTGAATTCTTGAGAGAAACAATCATGTTTAAAAAGAACAAGGTTTGTTTTGATTCATCTATTTCTGAATTACGAACTCAAACAACATAAGAAAAAAAACAAAATTTCCAATCATGAACAAATTTTATTGTTTACTGTTTACGTAAATCTATGATAACGACAACAAATGCTTTTGCATTTATGGCATATACCTGTATTGCATATTGAATGCACAAAGGATAATGGAATACTTGAAGTATTCCTTTAATTAAAATATGGAGCATCAATGTACGAAATGCAATGGAATCTTGATCCCTTGAAGCACAAATTGTTCTGCACACGTTTCGTCAGCAGCTGAATTTATTGTCAAGGGACATGCTTCTTTATTATCAATAATAAACTTACCTTCGAAGTATATTATTAACACAGGTTTATACATAATCCTCGGGAAATATATCATTTTATAGGCATTGGGGATAAGAGTGAATGTTGAAAGGTTCAAAACCAGGAAAAGTATGAAATAATAAAATAAAGATATTTGGACATTTAGTCAAATTTTTCGGAATGTGGGTTGGGGTGAGAAATTTTCAGCACCCATTCGTAGAAACGTATCTGCATATCTGTCATGCTTTCGTGGAGCATAGACTAGAAACAAATGGTTCTCGGGTTCTAATCCTTGTATTTCAGGGCTAGGGTTAGAAAAAAGAATAGCTACGGGCCACTGTCACAAATTTTGATAGCAGACACAGGAGGAAAAGTGCAAGATCATCGAGAAAAGGTAGGCAAGGAAAATGAGTAGAAAGGACTAATTATCACTTATCAATTGTAAGAAGACAGAATATATGGTTGTTAGGTGGGTACCTCGGCGTGATGTAATGGTTAACAAGCTTGTCTTATTAGATCAGTTACTAGTGAAAAGTGAGTTCGATCCTCACTATGTGCCCCCTACTTTCGGCCTTGTGCCACATCTAAGCTAGGCTTAGAAAATCACTATATAGTTGTTAGGTAACAGTCTAGAATGCGAGTTATGAACTGGATACATCAAAATCAAGCAAGTATGAAAATTTACATATTCGTGAAGCGTTTTAACAGACGACAGAAAATATGACAGAAAAAGATGCTTTCTGAAAGCTAAGCAAATTTTTAAGAAACAGGGAAATTTTAATTAGAAACAAAGAAAAGAGTGATCAACTGCTATGTAATATCAGCCCACATATAAGGTAGTAAATGACGAGGATACTTGAGGTAACAGAGATCTAGTTCTACAGAAGGATGCTGAGAATGCCATGAACGCAGCATATGAGTAATGATAAAGTTCTAAGGAAAATGGAAACAAAAAACACTTATAATCAGAAGGCGACAGCTGAAATTTCTTGAACACATATTGAGGAAATTTGACACTCACAGGTCTTATGCAAACAAGAGGGGTAGAAGAAAACCTACCTTACAAGTTAATGAAAATGGATGGCTAAACAGAGAGTGAGGATTTGGAAAAAGACAAACATTGTTTTCTTTTTTTTTCTTTTTATGTGCCATGTCCTTTCAGGACGTAGGCGATCATGGCTCTCCACCTCCTCTCTATCCCTTGCAGCTCTCAACAAGTTCCTTCGCTCTGCTTCATCTCTCAGACTACGTAGTACTGTTATCCACTTGTTACAGTCCGCCATGTATGTCACGCGTTGTTTTCCCTTGTCTCTCTTTCGCTCTATTCGACTCGTGTGTATCAGATTCTCCAGGCCCTCTTTTCTCATTATGTGTCCCAGAAACTTCAGCTCCCTCTTGCTGATGTTAAGTATAAGCCTCCTCCTTGTCTGCATCCTCTCTAAGACCTTATCGTTGCTCACACGCTCGGTCTATGATATCCTTAGCATCCTTAGAACCACATCTCTCGAATCTCTTCTTCATCTTTGAGGAAATCGTCCAACATTCTTTGCCGTAAAGAAGGACAGATTTCACGTAACAGCTCAGTATTCTTTTCTTTGTTGTTGCCAAAGAAATCCTCCTGTCTCGCAATACTCTGCCCAGCTTTTGGAATGTGTCCTTGACCATCAAGTTGTGGAAAGCTATGATCGCCCGAAGAAGAAGAAGAAGGAGGAGGAGGAGAAGGAGGAGAATAATAATAATAATAATAATAATTGATTTGTAAATGTTATATCTACAATGGTACGTATTTTTGACCTTTCACGGTAACTATTAATCAAATACATCAGGCTGAAGTACGAACAAAGACACAAGGAAAATTTATTTTTCCAGGATTAATATAAAAGTTAACTATTCTACTTTTTTATTACCTTATGTAGTCCTGGGTATGACGATAAACTACATTCGGCAGCAAGGGAGATTGGAGGTTATGAGGAGTGTGAAACCACCTTTTAATTGCTGTTGTTCTCAGGTCTATCCTGGTGCGTAGCACCTGTTTTTCTAGATCAATCAAGCGGGGATAGCACCTGTTAGGGTCTCAGACAGTTGAACGAAAACACTCTAGTTAAATAATTTAACTCGAAATTCCTTGAAGGTTACACAGATTGGTAGACACTTGAGAAAGGCCTGAGAGCGCAACCGCCCCAAACACTGTGATAATAACAACAAAGAAGAAGATATTAGTCCGAATGTAACTAATAACTCCTTATTCCAGAAGTTCAGACAGAATTTACCTTACGATTAGATTTATATTGTCTTAATAAGGCAGATTGGTTTTGGAACCGTGATATTGCATTCAATTTGAAAGTTGAGGTTTGACATGATAAATAATAACACAAAATATTTTTTTTTCCAAATCATTACAGACTTTTGAGGAAACCACTGAAGATTAAATTTAAATTCAAAATCGTAGCGTTACAATTTAATTACGGTGATCAGTGAAAACCTTATAGCATAGACTTATAAAATTTATAATTTTCTAAAGCTTTACAAATTGTATATGGAGAAGATGCATGGCACAAACACATTATTAGTAAATCATTGTACCACTAAATAAGACATTTCTTTCAAAGGGAAGTTATACTGAACAATTATGATGTAACATGCAGTGCAGTAGTTTTAGTGGGATTTTCAATAAACAACCCAAATTGAAAACATTTTGTCTCATGATTTGTGCCCAGAAATATTTATGGTGCTACATAAACTTTTACTTAGTTTTTTGTTTTTATTCATTATGATCTAACAAATTTTATTCATTGTATCATATCATTTTTATTCATTATGATCTAACAAATTTTATTCATTGTATCATAGACTTTTTTGTAATCTTTTAAATTTTTTTACACAGTTTTTACTTATCGAATACTGTAAAAATGGTTATTTTGCTTGTGATGATTTATAATTAGAATTCTGGTTTGAATATATTGTGCATTCAATGTATGTAAAACAAAAGCCATCATTGGATTTATTCTTGAAATTATAAAATTTTAAAGCCCGTTTGTAAGCAAAAACTTACGGAAATTAAATATTTCTGTGCATTTTTTTCAGACGATGTTTAAAACTATGAAATCTAATTTTTGTTTTCCGTACTTATCACATGAAACCACAGCTTGAATACAATATTAATTCTCTAAAGAAAGTGAAAAAATCAACCTGCCCTATTGGGTTAATATCACTCAACAATGTTAAAATAAAAAGAAAATAACAGTCTATGCGAGATTCGATTTGTGGTTCATGTGGGACAAGCATTTTTGTATTGTGACCAAAAGTGTTAAAATCAGTCTATCGATTGATTGGTCTTTGGCCCTGAGAGTGAGAGAGAGAGAGAGAGAGAGAGAGAGAGAGTTTATCGATTGATTGGCTTTTGGTCCTGGGAGAGAAAGAGAGTGAGAGTGGAAGAGAGTGAGAGAGAGAGAGAGAGAGAGAGAGAGAGAGAGAGAGAGAGAGAGAGAGATCAGTCTATCGATTGATTGGCTTTTCGTCCTGTGTTTGGATAAATAAAATGTTATTTTTATAATCGTTTATGCATTACGACATTATTTTCTAAAAGTAAAAATGGATGAACGTCTTTATGTTCACACAAGGAAATTACATGAAAAGAAAATAAAACTCACCCTGTTTGAGTTTTTATCGTTAATGTAAATATTATCATAATTATTATCTAAGATGTGATTGCTTTAGAATAATAATTTGATAAAAAGAATTATTTCAAAATCCGTCAGAAGTAATTGCTCAAGTGAGACACTTCCAATCTTATTCTTGAATAATTTTCTGTCTCAATCGATGTCAAATTATTGACAGATTTTAAACATTTATTTTGTTAATTGTTTTTTTGTGTTCTTGCACTGCGTGTATGTTGAATTGTAACTTTCTCTAAAGGTCTAAATTATATTGTGCAAAATCTCATTAAAACGACTCTTTCTCGATATGACACCATTTCAAGCGTTATCGACGAGATTGACTATAATTTCCCGCCCTTATTATTATCGAACAGCTGAGATTTCGAACAATAACTCTCAACTAAGTCGCCGATTAATTAAAAACACGCACAAAAAATAACAAGTGGATGGAAAGCTCATTACATCAACTGCAAGTGAAAATACTGACATTGTGTTTTAGATTGGTGATGAGTCATTTTAAGTAATGATTGAGTCATTATAAGTAATGATTGAGTCATTTTAAGTAATGATTGAGTCATTATAAGTAACGCAAGTAGTGCAATGGTTAGAGGATCGAAATGAAAAATTGGCGAACCGAGGTCGAATTCTAGTCGAGCTTGTTACATTCACTTTCGCACAAATACTCGTGAGAGCGGTATGAATCAATTCTTTCTACCCTCGAGTTTGGATTAAATAGCAGAAGAGACTGAACTCTCAAGCCGTGATTGGCAACCAGTATAGGAGAAGGACAATTCTGAATTCAGAACCACATGTGGTACTAGTGGTTGGGAAATTTGACTTTCGACGAAATAAGTCAGATAATACAGAAAAATATGTCACTAAAAAAGAGGTTAGTCATTGCAGAGAGATCAAAATTCATGAATACGAGACAAGAAGCTGACGAAGCGGTTACAAAAGTTTTATTTCATCTAAAAAGGCGTCTTGACATTGAGAGTTTGAAAAACTCGGAAATGAAAGCCAAACGACTGGAGAAGAATGAATTCAGATGAGGTTAATTGACTGACTGCATAATGCAAGACATCGCTATTAAATGTTAGAATAATTGCAGCTACGAAACATGTCTTTGTCTACCTGCATTGAATTTATTCAAAAGAAGGAACTAATACAAAAATTTAAGTCAAAGAATTGACCGAATTATGTAGAAGTTGCTGAGACGTACATGTTGAAGAAAACCGCAACAAAATTCAGATTCTGTTGATAGGAACACGACATGAAAAAATAGAAATGTCTTGCATTTGGAAAAGAGTGTAAAAATTGTCTAAAAATGAACTATTTTCAAGTCATGGGCAGATTTAAAAAGAAAAAAATATATATTAAAAAACAAAACAAAACAAGAAGCACAAAACACCTTTCTCTCAGA